GATGGATGGATGGATGGATGGATGGATGGATGGATGGATGGATGGATGGATGGATGGATGGATGGATGGATGGATGGATGGATGGATGGATGGATCATAAAACACAAGCAAGGGTTTATTTACAGCCCTCAGATATCTAATTGGTGATCAGTCCTCAAAGACAGTGAGAAATTGGTTTCTGTCAGTTAAATGTTGATAAGTATATCTCTGCTAATTGTCCCTTAGGAAATAAAGTAAAACCTTCAATCTGTGTTTAAGTGAAGTTTTGTTACTCATTATATTATTTGTGATATAGTGGATAATTGTTTTAGTTTAATTGACACAGTATTGAAATTGATCAGATAAAATATAAAGTTGGATTATTTTATTTATTAGATTGCAGAATATATTAATCTATCAAATAAGCCTGAGAATAAAGCTGTGTAACAAAACCTTATGCCTTATGATGCTGCTCCACTTTAACCTCATACAACTTTAATCCTGCATTGCTGTAGTATTTTCTCTTTATTCTATCGTGGGTCTTAATAAAAAATAGATATATCTTTCTGATGTTGAAACACCAATGCAGACTTAGACTGAAGTCAGATTTTGTTTCATGATTACATGTGATGTTTCTAGTGTATAAAAATTATTTTACTGTGAGTTTTATTGGCCTAAGAAAGGAGAGAAATGTTCCCCATTCTGTTGCAAGCGACATGCTGCCAGCTGAAGAAGGCATGCAGGTTTTCTTTAAGAGGGTGAGAGATTAGTGATTCGAATCAGCAAGCTATATCTTGGACTCTGCATGCATTCGTCGTCCTTCCCTTTCATTCAGCTGTTTCAAAAATGACACCAACCCCCCCCAAACCCTGTGTTTCTTTCCCAATTCTCATCCATCTCCAAGTGCAGTCATTTCTAGTGCAGAGAAATGTCCCCAGTGACACTGAGGGATGACGCAGGCTCTCCATCCTCTCTCTGTTTCGATAACCCTAACGATCCCACCTTCCATTTTTTCTAGCTCCAACATCATGTTTTCCCTGTTCCAACTTACAACACTCTCCCCTTCTTTTTCTGGCTTTGGTACTACCCTTTTCTCCATTTCCTCATCCAGTCTCCCTTTCCCCCTCTCCTCTCACTGCCTCCCCCTTTCTCCCCTCCTTCCCACTCTGCTTCGGCACTGCAGTGCTGATTGTGATTGAACATACACACACACGCAAGCACGCACCAACACACGCACAGAGGAGCATAGATGAGAAACAAGTACTGCAGCAGCATGCAGCAGCTTGCAGCATCTGCGGCTCAGCCATTCACGGGATGAGGGGGGGACGCTTGCAGAAAGGGAAGCAGATTGTTGCTTTACACCAGCCTGCTTGTGCATCTTAGTAGAGGTGAGAATGATGCATTTCATTTGCAGATGGCTCAAGAAATCCAGGCTCTTCTGCACTGCCTCTGCATCCTGTTCCCCCTGCTCCTCCCACTTCAACTCTTCCTCCTCCTCCTCTCTACAGCATCATTAGAAAGGACTACAGATTGACTGGGACTGGCAAGCTGTGGATGGTCAGATTTTACCCCAGCGGAAGGATTTTTTTGGTGGCTATGCTACATCTGCAGCCTGACTGTCGACTGGATTGTAACTGACTATAAAATAACATCTGAACTTACAAGGAATCTTGGATGTGTGTGAGGATCTATACCAGTGTTGTCACTGGTGCATTTCCTCCTTTTTCCTTCTGGTGGTTTTTGCTTTCTCAGAGACTGGCTAGCAGGCACTGCAGCATTAGGACCGCAAGATTCATGAAGGGGTAGGGCATGAGGACCAAGGGGCAACCCTGAGGAAGGGCTTGATAACTTCCATTGGAACCACTGCTGAGGTGCTTATCTTGATTTCTTTTTTTTTTTTTTTCAGAAAAGGGTGTCTGGTGGGGGGTTGGTGTGGGTGGTGACAGCACAGGTAACTAGGCCCTACAGTGCAAAGCGGGTGGGTTTTGTGTATAGGAGCCAGGCAGGACGTCCTGTGGGAAGGAATAAGGGCTGACTGGAACGCTGGACTCCTGATGGTGGCTATTTTTGTCTCCCCTAGCTGATCGTTTGGGACAGCAGGTGGAAGAGAAGATGCTTATGGCCCGAGACACGGCCCGGGATGAGGCTCAAAAGCTACACAGGAAGTGGCTGAAACACCAGGCCTTTATGGCAGAGCTGGCCCGAAATAAGGAATGGCTGGCCAAGATAGAACAGGTAAGTGAGGGTGACCGGGGGGGGAGTGCAGAAAGGCAGCACATGCTGAAGGGGATACAATCCGTAGAAGCAGAGTTAGGAGTGGTGAAGTGAGAAGATGAAATTCTGAGATCAGCGGCTGTTCCATCTTCACATTGCTGAGGAACATCCTGTTACAGCCTCAAGGTTATAGAGAAATCACACTGGTGTCACTTTCACTGTCACATTTGGTCCGATGTTTGGGCCTGTTTCAGCCTTTTTGCACTCAAAAGAGTTTGACTAGGAGGCTGCAGAAAATCAGAATGAGATGAATGAAATGTAAACTGCAGCAGTAAATTGCAGAAAGCTGATCTATAGTACAGGATCTATTATAGTTGGCAGTCTGTTATTGTTTTATCTCAATTGACTTTTAGCCCTTCAGCTCCATCCATGCAGAATACCCTCCATGCTGTCCAGGCTATTGAAATGTAACTTTCTATGGGATTCTACTACACTTTCCTCTAATTATGAGAGTGGATTATTACATTAAAAATATAAAATCCATTTTGTGAACACAATGTGTGATGATGAGGACTGGACTGGTATATTTTAACCACATGACTCCATGCTGTGGGTAAAACTGCTTTCATATGAAAACAGAGCAAGATACCAATCTCTTAACTGTAGCCGGAATAAAAATGAAATTGTTTATTGTGGCCATACTGATGTTATGTTCAACATCTGTTTAGGATTGTTTTGATTTTCATACCTAATCTTGAGCAGAACAAAAATATTTGCATGTCCAACCATAAATATCTGTTTTCAGCAGCAATAAATCTCTTCCAAAAGAGATGGATTACCCATGCTGTACGTTAGAGAACAGAGCGTAAGCCATCTATCTACCAGCAAATTGCAGTGTGCAGCATCGTGAAGGAGGGATGACTGTATTTTTCTTTTCTTCATACTGATGAACTTTATGTGGTAATCTCATAAACGAGTGTAGAAGCTTATCAGAACTCGATAGTGGTTGTCAGCTCATAGCTACTAAACATTTAGCTGTAGCAACTGACTATACTTAAAAAATGACTGCAACATGGTTTTTTGAATTAATTTCAGGTGTGCCCCAATTCACGACATATGTCATCTCATGAGACTTTAGGGAGTAAGTTCAGCTGACTGAATGTTTAAGAAGACCTAGGCAGATACAAACAGGTAAACAGATCCTCTGATCTTGGAAAACCTTCTGTGTTAGGGAAGGTATTGGTAAACCATATCCATGAGTTAAACTGATGAACTATGTGATGATTTCCAGATCAAAAGGATAAAAAAGAGCAAAAACACAGCCAGTAGCCATGTCAGGATAGAGACAGGTCTAAACTTCAAATGGAAATAGTCCCAACTTTGTTTATTTATATAGCTCTAATTCATAGCATGTCATCTCAGGTCACTTTATAGATCAAGATCAACCAGATCATCCAGTCAGATGGGAAAACCAGCTGATTGCATTGCCTCATTGCCTCTTCAGCAATCCCTCACACCAAGCATGCTTGTAGCCACAGTGGAGAGGAAAAATCCCTTTGAACATAAAGAAACCTCCAGTAGTACCAGAACCAGACTCAGTTGGAGCGGTCATCTGCTGAGGCCGACTGATCCCTGTGGTACTCCACAGGTAACCCTGGAGCATGAGGAAGATTTATCATTAATACGAACAAACTGAAATCGGTCAGATAAATACGATTTAAACCAGTCTAGAGCTGTTCCTTTAATCCCTACAAAATATTCAAGTCTTTCTAAAAGAATATTATGATCAAGTAGATCAAATGCAGCACTGAGTACGAACCGGACAAGTACAGATACAGGTCCATTATCTGAGACCATGAGAATATTATTAGTGACTTTCACCAGAGTTGTTTCAGTGCTATGATGAGCTCGAAAGCCAGACTAAAACTCTTCAAAAAGTTCATTATGGTTTAAATGATCGCACACTTGTTGGCAACTACTTTCTCAAGAATTTTAGATATAACAAGAATTTTCGATATATATGATCTGATCTAAGGTTTGATTACAGCAACCTTAAAAGCCTGCAGCACATGTCCCTGTTTAGGGATATATTGATCCTATTTAAACATGGAGGTGGGAATAAGATAAAATAACTTAGCTGGATATGGATGTGACACATTTTTTATGTTGCATTCAAAATCTGTTGAACAAATAAGATTGAAGTCAGGTGTTGTTCCCTTCATTCCTATGGGAATGTTAAAACCCTTTTAAAAGACCAAACTTACTGACTGTATAGAATATTCCAATAACTGTAGTTCTGAGTCCAAATTACTTGTCGCATATTTGCATCTGCAAAATGTCACACAAAAAAATCTGCAGCATGTCACACAGCACCTTTACTTTTTGAAAAGGTTGTGAATTTCATCAGGCCTTGACCACCTTGAAATGTATTTACATCTTTAAATCCCTTTTAATATTATAAAGGTGTCTGTTGCCCTTTCCCTTTGTTTTAATTATTAATTATCATTGAATACATTAAAACATGATTAGACTTTATGGATCTTTTGCACACTATGGTGGTAGTAAGCGTTCCCATAAATTATTTACTAGATACAAGAGAAACTAATTATTACAGGCTTGAAGTCAGTGACACAAAAGTAGACATGCTGACAAGAAAAAGCTTTGTTAGTTCATTGTTCCAATAACTGACGTGTAGCCTAGTACTTTGGGGCAAAAACATTTTGAAGTTGCAAATGCGTAGGATTGTAGAGAATTTGTATGTTTATTGATGACTTGGTTGTTTGGGCTGTTTTGGGATTTGATTCTATTTTTAAATATTTTTCTCCTGCGTTTTCTTAGTTTCTATTTTGATTTATGTTTGTTCTACACTCTGAAACAGTTGGACTAAAACTCAAATTGGGTTATTTCCAGCCGAACCGCTGGGCTATTATAGCACCGGCCCAGTAGTGGTTAATTTGACCAGACAAGATAGGTTGGTTTATTATAAGCCAATAGATGGGTCACAATATTAAGCTGATGCTAAGTGGAATTAAATGTAGATTTGGGGAAATTCAAACATGCATGCTTGGTGCTTGCTAATGGCCGCATAAAGTTCTTTCATGGCTAGCGTGGCATTAGTATCCGGGGGAATATAAACAGCAGTGAGGATGACAGAAGTAAATTCCCTTGGAAAGTAATAAAGTCTGCATTTGACCATTAAAAACTCCACGATCTGTGAGCAATGTCTCTCGGTAGTAGAAGGGTCTGTGCACCAAGCTTTGTTAATATAAATGCACAAACCTTTGCCTCTGGTCTTGATGGACTCATCTGCTGTCCTGTCGGCTCGATGTGTGTGGTGTCCTGTTAGCTGGATACCATTGTCCTGCAGCTGTTGTTTGGTCATGAAAAAGCATGACTTTTGAGTCAATAATCTATCCGTCATTTGTGATGGATTGTCGTAACTCATCCATTTTATTGGCCAGGGAAATGCTGGGTAAAGAGAGCCGGTGTGGTGTTAGCTTTAGCCTAGTTCGCAGCCCTCAATGCTTACCCTTCCTTTGTTTACATTCTCGTTGCCATGTGCATACACTTCCACCAAGCTGTGAGGAGTTGGCAGCCTTCGGTGTTCCGAAGATCTCTGAGTCAGAGATCGGCGATAGAAGTGTTAGAATTGTAGCTCTGAATGTTCAGAAGCTCATGTCTGCTGTAGGAAAGCAACACACTGGAGTGTGCAGGTCAGCTGGCTGGTGTAATAACAGACGTTTTTAACACCCTCTGCTGGACCAATCCATAGTTCCAGTATGCTTTAAGTCAATGACTACCTATCATGATGAAGTGCTTCAAAAGGCTGGTTAAATAACACATCATCTCCAGTCTCCGCCAAAAATTAGACCCATTTCAGTTCTGCTACTGACGGAACCATTCCACTGAAGATGCCATCTCCTCTGCTCTTCACCTGAGCCTAGCACACCTGGAGGAGAAGAGCATCCATGTGCAGATGCTGTTCCTGGGCTTCATTTCAGCTTTCAACACCATCATCTCACACCATCTGAAAGGAATACAGCTGGGTTTCATACACCCCTCGGCAATTGGCTTTTAGACTTCCTCACACACAGACCTCAGTCAGTCTGGGTTGGACAGAACACCTCTGATGTCATCACCCTAAGCATAGGCTTCCCTCTGGGCTGCGTCCTGAGCACCCTGCTGTTCACCCTGATGACACATGACTGCCTCCCCAGGTTCACCACCAATCACATTGTGAAGTTTGCAGACGGCCCCATGGTGGTGGGCCTCATCAGAGCAACAACGACCAGGACTATAGAGAAGAGGCGGAGCAGCTGGTGGGCTGGTGCAGAGATAACAGCCTGGTCCTGAATGTGGAGAAGACAAAGGAGATCATCGTCGACTTCAGGAACAACCTTTCTAACCCTGCTCCGCGGCTCATCAACAGCTCAGCTGTAGAAGTGGTGAGCAGCACCAAATTCTTGTGCACAAAATGGCACAAAAGCGTGTACTTCCTGCGGAGGATGAGGAGAGCCCACCTGCCCCCACCCATGAGGCACCTCTTCCCACCATAAAAGACATTTCATACCAGCGCTGATTTTCCCGAGCCCATAACATTATCAATTGCCCCTCCCACCCCCACCATGGACAGTTCTCCCTGCTGCCCTCTGGGAAGAGGCTTCACAATGCAGGTCCAACAGATTCTGAAGCAGCTTTTTACCCACCACCATCAGACTGCTGAACTGTTGAAAGAAACTCTAAATACAGTCAAAGACTCTGCATCACACCGATAACACCAAACCAAAAAGAACTCAGTTCAAAAAATGTTTGTCTACTGCATTTTTGCACCATATTTATTTGTCTTTGCGCTGCTCTGAACTTCCATGTAAATCCATTTTGCATCATGTTTATTCTCCAATGATTTTTACATTTGATCACTGCTGCACTTTTTGCAGAGGCTAAGCTGCTGCTCATGTACGGTCTGAAAGCTGTAAAAAAAAAACGAAATTTCATTTTGTAACACTCTGTATATACTAAAT